AATTGATGACCAAGACCAGGAAAATGTATCTCCAAGACCAAAAGCAATCACTGAAGAGCATAAGACTCAATCATCGCCTACAACATCAGCTCGAGGTTCGACGTCAATCGTAACCAAGTGCGTAAGCCTTGTACCCGATTATAGCAGTGATTCAAGCTTCAGTGAAAATGAAGATTCAATTAAAAACTACAAACAGCTTGCAGGTCACGAGTTTCATAATTCGATCCCAGCAATAAAACCTAAACGTTCATCATCCTGCAGCTCAACATCATCCAGCGATTCTTCTAGCTCATCATCTTCAAGTTCATCCAGCTCTACTTCATCGAGCTCTTCAGGTAGTTCAACGTCTGCCCCAGTCACTACCTTGCAAAACGTTAGAGTGGAATATGAGGAAGGAACGGCATCTTGCTCCCATTCCCTAGATAACAGTCAGAGACAGCAAATTCAGCTAAGAGGGCGCCGAAATGACAATAGTAATAGTATGAGTAACTATAATATCTCTCCAATATACACCGACCAAAGTGATGTTGATCTTAGTGACGATGATCCCACAATAGATTTCAACTCGTTTTTTGATAAGCCTGCCAATAGAAAAAACTTTTTGATAGAAGAATCCAATACAAATTCATCTGACTCTGATTTCAATAACGGACCAAATATTTGTAGAGGTCGTAAACGTTCGCGAAATGTTAAAAAATGGCAGCAAAATAAATCGAAAAGGCTTAGAAACCAAGGCGAATCATATGTCTCGATGTCAAAAAGTCGTAAAATGATTCCAGCTCGCTTTATAAAAGATACATGTACCGAAAGATGTAAGTTGAAATGTGCAGCAAATATTGATTCCGAGAGTAGATATAAGCTATTTAATGACTTTTGGGGTCAAGGTAGTTTAATAGCACAAAGAGGTTATATTAGATCATGTATGGAAGACGTAGCCCCTAAATATAAATACACAAATTCCGCACATCCCAGACGCCCAAACAAGGCCTTTTATTTTATGGTTAATGATAAAAAAGTAAGAGTATGCAAGACATTTTTTAAAAATACACTGTCGGTTTCTGAACGTATGGTTTACACAGTACAAACTCGAATGAATGATGGTTTTATGTTGGATGACTTACGAGGAAAGCACAAAAACCATAAAAAACTTAATTCAGAGTTACTAGAGGATATCAGAAAACATATTAACATGATTCCGAAAATAGAATCACATTATGTGAGGGCTTCGACTTCAAAACAGTATATTGGTGGTGATAAAACAATAAAAGATTTATACAATGACTTTGTTGCTCAACAAACTCACGCTAACAGGGATTTCGGTAGTTATATAACATATTATAAAGTTTTTACCATTGAATTTAACCTAGGATTTTACCAACCAAAAAAAGATCAGTGCGATCTGTGTGTGTCGTACAATAATTCAAATAATGAGCAGAAACAGGATTTGGAAGAGAAGTATTTGAAACATTTGGAGGAAAAGACTTTAAGTCGTTCTGAAAAACTTACTGACCGTCAAAATGTAACCAAAGATAGGAAAGTAGTTGTTTATGATTTAGAAGCTGTATTACAGTGTCCAAGGGGTGACACTTCAGCGTTTTATTACAAGTCTAAGCTAAATAGCTACAATCTGACTGTAACAGAATTGATAAGTGGAGATAAAAAAGCGTATGAGAATGTACATTGTTATTTTTGGACTGAAGCAGATGCTAAACGCGGTGCAAATGAAATAGGGTCATGTATATGGGAATATTTAAAAAATGTTTGTGCAGAAGATGAGGAACCAAAAGAGATTATATTTTATTCGGATAATTGCTGCGGCCAAAATAAAAATAAATATATTGCAACACTGTATTTATATGCTGTAACTAACTTGAATATAACCAGTATAACACACAAATTTCTAATAAGAGGACATACACAGAACGAAGCCGATAGCGTTCACAGTCTGATAGAAAGGGAGATAAAGAAAAATCTGAAGTCAGGTCCAATTTATAGCCCTGATCAATATGTTACACTCATCAAGAACGCAAAACAATCAAAACCTGCAATAAATGTTCATGAGCTGTCATACGAATCTTTTATGGACTTAAGAGCTCTTCAAGAGGAGTGGGGGTATAATTTTAATACTGATAAAGATGGTAAAAATGTTAATTGGAACGATATCAAGGTGTTACAAATGCTAAAATCGGAACCATTGAGCTTTAATTACAAAAATTCATACAGCAATACTAGTTTTAAACAAGTTGATGTCAGGAACAAACGAAAGAAAATGAGCCAAATATCAGACATTTCATTAAATAAAGCTTATAGCCAAAGGCAAGAAATAGCTGCTAATAAAAAAAAAGACTTAAAAGAGCTAATAGAAAAGAAGTTAATACCTTCCTTTTATGCAAATTTTTATAATTCGTTATTTTAAGTAAGTTAATTGTAGTGTTTAAATGCATAAGAACGCTATTTTTGTATTACGCCCTTTTCAAAATGATTAGATATTTTATTTTGCTGCTATGTTTACACAAACGTTTTTTATATAATTTAATAATAAAAATATTTTGACTGTTTGTCGATATTGTTATTAGCGTTTACCTAAAATTTATAATAAGAGAAGTCTTAAGTTACGTTAAAATTTAGTCCCTATGCAGCACTTAGGTTGTTTCAGGAATTAAAAGTGGTGTTATTTGATTGTGATTGTTATTACATACATAATAAGTGTCTTTCACAATATAATATATTATATTGTANAATTTAATAATAAAAATATTTTGACTGTTTGTCGATATTGTTATTAGCGTTTACCTAAAATTTATAATAAGAGAAGTCTTAAGTTACGTTAAAATTTAGTCCCTATGCAGCACTTAGGTTGTTTCAGGAATTAAAAGTGGTGTTATTTGATTGTGATTGTTATTACATACATAATAAGTGTCTTTCACAATATAATATATTATATTGTACTGTGAAAGAGACTGGTGAGTAATATGACTGATTTTAATATTATTGTTGTATTTGTGTTCCTAATAATGTAACAGATCTCACGAGGTCCTGAAGGCTGAGTTAGAGGTTTTTTATATGTTTGTTTTTATTACAAAACCATTTCTATTCTGATTTATAAAATAAAATATAATAGATAATAGCTTGTTTTATTTCAAAAAAATATTAATATTTTTTATATCTTATATTTAATAAAGATTTAATAGCACTTATTATACCATAGCCACGATTTGAATAATTATAAAGTGCATTATTGTGGGATACATTGAAAACAATTTATTCCTTTTTAAAACTAAAGAGATTTGTTTTCAATTACTGCACGATTTTTTTTATAATACTGTGAGGTTTTTAGGATAAAGAGAAGTAAGTCAAAACATTTTTTTTAACTTTATTTTTCAACTATAATTATGTTATAAAACGAATTCTTCTTGTTATTATATAAAACTCTGTACTTTCAACTCCCAATATCGACAGAAAAAGTAAAGAAAAACACTTAAGTTAATCTTTAATTTTCAATTAAAGACATTCGAAAAACGCGCAAAAAAACTAAAGCTTATTACCAAAAGTTGTGGTTTTTGAGTTACATCTTTTTATTTTTAAGCATGCGATATATATATCAGTGTCTAACCCAAGGAATCCTAGGGTTTGATTTAAAAAAATAAAATATTATTTTATGTTAACTGTGGGGTTTGTGACCCAAGCATATGATCCCAGACAAAATCTGAACAAAACCAGACAGCAATAGCTAAGAATCGTCCCGGACAAAATTCGATTACAAACCAGACTGTTCTAGCTAAGGATCATCCCGGACAAAATCCGAATCGAACCGGGCAGCATTACCTAAGAATCATTACGGTCCATTATCTCAAGGACGACGATTTAGTTTAAGCCGCTGACTACCAGAACACCCAAAGCTAACTATTCGTCTTTATTCAAGAACCAAAAAAAACCCATCCAATTTAGTATGAGTCCCAAGTTTTTCCAAATATATTATGTTTCTCTATTAATTACACCAAACAAAATAATTAAAACTTTCTCACCCTTCAAAGCAATCAAATCACTAGCCAATTCTTGAAAACATCCATTTAAAATAAACCTCAAAATACTAAAATAATTAAAATGATCAAGACGTTAAGATAAATTATATTCAAACAGGTTACATTTAATAAAAAGAAATTGACTCGAATAGTTCGTAATTACTGTGTACAAACTTCATTAATATTCATTTGTACTTCCCTACTGTTACGTAATTAATATAAATCTTTTGTTGTCCTAACGCGTCGGCAGGAATTCTTTTAGATATTTTTGTTAGATTGTGGTGTTGATGTTGGAATATGAAGTTTTTTTGTTAAAAATATTTTGGGGAGCATCATGTCCCTTTTTTTATTATTATTCTTAAATTCGTTTAAGTAAATTTTGAAATAAATTGAAAAATGTGATTTAAAGACTTTGTCTCAAAATTTTCTGAATTTAATTATGTAAAGAATACAATTCATTCATAATAAAAAATCGGAGTTAATAACTAACAATTATCCAGGGAAAGATCTAAAGATGCATGTGTGTCTTTGAGTTTTTTTCGCTAAGCTGTGCAGACAAGTCATTTAATTTGATAAATGGTGGTCAGTCGTTAAGTAGTACAAGTGGGACTTCGACCTCATGTCTCAAAATGGAAGGCGCCTTCATATCGTGATGTCTATAGGTGATCACTAGATTTCGCTCATCCATCATTCAGTGGTAATATCCTCAGCCTGTGTATTTGCTTAGCTAGTTCTACGCCTTTTCACTATACTTCTATATTGAATTCTGGTTTAGGGCATATCGTGAACTCTACAGCCTATCTCTATGAATATAAAAATCAGAAATTTAATTATGAATTAATTATTCATGTCCTATAACAGAGTGCTCAAATCTGACCGAAAAACACCCATAAATCAATATCAATATTCACGCTGTCACATTCAACGTGAGACGCTCTATCCATTCATATTAAAAAAATAACATTTCCATTATTACAGAAGCAGCGGGGATGACAGTTCGACGTTACGGACAGTTTTCCTGGTGAGTTGCAAAAATAAAATTTTAATATCCCACTAAAAACTCGGTACCCACAGCAAGGGGGTAATAGGGGCGAGGTCGCAAAACGCTACGAACGTTTCTAGGATGTAAGAGTGGATAATGTTATAGAGTAGATAATTCGCGTGCTAAATTTTTATGGAATGATTAGAGGTAAGTAGCTTGCGCCGTGAAGAATGAAATCTACCTCCATTGAACAGTGACAAAGCACCGTGTACTTTCTTTATCCAGTTAATGAAAATACCGCTGATTTTTTGGCGTGTTCTGTCACCAGTCGACATTATTCTTTTGGAAATAGACTTAATTTTGACAAATAGACTTTTTCATATCCCACTCTCTTAAGCTTTCTTTAATGCCTCAGCCCTGTGAGTAATTTGATTTGGTCTGTCCCGTACGTGGACGAGTGACCAATTGGCTTTTTTCGCGTCGAGCTTACCCACTACTATAAGCTTTTCGCGGCTATTAAAATTCCAACAAGCTACATATCATCGTCACTGACCACGTCGTCTTTTTCTGCTTCAATGACATTTTTATATTTATTTCAGTAAGTTGAGTAGAATATCTGTTAGTTTAATGCAACTAGAACTAGTTCGGCTTCGTTCATGTTGCTATCGCATCCAATAAATATATTCGCAACTCTACAAGAATGTTTACTCCGACGAAATGTTCGCTACGCCCCTACGATGCACATAAAGCGATAGTCGCGACATTTCTCGTTATCTGCGGCGTTCGGCGCAAACGATTCGGAAAATCGAACAGGGCCCGCGTCTCCTTCCATTACCGGTATTAGAGTATTGAACGCCCGATATCGGAGGCTTCAAGCTCCATCACGATTTAATCGCGTGCCATATTCTGATGAGGACGTGTAAGGTGTGAACTCATTCACTTCAGTAGTACATACCTCACGATTTCTTTAAAATAATCAACAAATTGCCAATATATCTTCTGGTGGTAGGACCACTTGTGAGTCCACGCGGATAGGTACCACCGCCCTGCCTATTTCTGCCGTGAAGCAGTAATGCGTTTCGGCTTAAAGGGTGGGGCAGCCGTTGTAACTATACTGAGACTTTAGAACTTGTACCTCAAGGTGGGTGGCACGTCTACGTGGTAGATGTCTATGGGCTCCAGTAACCACTTAACACCAGGTGGGCTATGAGCTCGTCCACCCAGCTAAGCAATAAAAAAAAAAATAGCCAATAATAATCCGAAGTTACCAACTCCCTTTACAATGCACGATAAAGAACGGATTGAAGCTAGTCTAAAAGTAAATGCTGTTGGATATAGCTAAACCACTATTACGGTAGATACTATCAGGTTTTAGATTTTACAATAACACGACAATGAATGTTTGCAGGACAACGTCTGTCGGGTCTGCTAGTATTAACTATATATTAAAAACGTAGGAAATAATATAACGACATTAAGAAAAGCGATATTAGGCCGTAAAAGTGTTTTAATTATAAAACCACATGTGATTCAAAAGTTGAATCATGATTATTACACGTAGATCTTGCTCCTTACCGTCTATGATTCAATTTTAAAATCTAATCTTTCCGTTGAACATGACTCAACTACATCTGTTTTGTGTGAATTATAATGAATGGTAACATTGATGTGTACGAAGTCACAAAACAAAAAAAAACTGTTTAAAAATCTCTCAAACAAATTTATAGAATGCTCAGTTGGGAAATCGTAGGGCATAATAAGCTAAGAAGCTTAGAAAATATAGATAACAATTACCCCAAAGCTCGATAACAGATTGATGCTTCGTACTAAATAAAAAAATGAGACAAAAGATATACTTACTCTTACGACATCCTCAATTATTGATATATCGGTCGCGTGACGTCAGGGCCCCCACATAGAACGTTCGTATCCCTAATACGATTGTGAAGAGAAAAACTTCCGTCGGAAGGGAATCGGTGCGAGGGGTTCTGTGATATCCGAACTAGAAATAAAACGGTCAAACTTACTCAGGAAGAGAATTGAAAGGTTCCGTTTATAAGTTATATGCGCTTCTCTTTTGTGTTTCAGTTTTCGTTTCATTACGTATGATGAGCGACGATTCTTGATGTTTCGTTTGAGGAAGTTGTTCTTGTTTTAACCGACCCGAAAAGAAGGAGGTTCTGCGTTCAATTGTCTATAAATATTGTTTGTGTATGGTCACCGATATCTCCATCATTTGGGGAGTAATTATGAAAAAAAAAGTATGTGGCACTCGGGGACTACCGCGGTAAAGCTATTGCATAGCATTTTTTATCAACTTATGCAATTATAATTAGACAATAATAATTTAATATTAAAACAATAATAAAATAAGACCACGCTATATTTATAAACATTAACAAAAGCAAAACATTAACTGTCCCCTTCACACTCATAAGCTAGACCGCGCGAGAGAGAGATTGGCAGACTTTTCATGATGCGCATGCAGTGCCACGTCTGCATACTACCCAAGCGCAACGTGTGAATGTGTTGAACGCGAGCTACATGGTAGGCAGAGTAGGGGTATTAGGTTTTATCTTCGTTACGGAATTTCTTGATTCGATCACCGCACATCAAAACCCGCGATAAAAGCTATGCAATAGCTTTAAAAGATTTCATATGCTCTCGTGTCGGACACAATTTTTAATTAATCTATTTCACTCTTAAAGTCTGTTTTCATTTGGGATGTGAGGTGATTGCAGTTTATAGATTTAGAAATGCTTCCCGCGTTCGCTACATAATAATGAAAGAAAATATAGGAAAAAATAGATCTTACAAGACGAATAAACAACACACACAAACCCACACACAAACACAGATAATGGAATCTGAAGAGCCATCAACTGCAGAAACTGCGCATTGTCTTGTCAGGGATATCCACAATATTCAATCTACCGGACACAATTTTTAATTAATCTATTTCACTCTTAAAGTCGTTTTCGTTTGAGATGTGTGATAGGTAATTGCAGTTTATAGATTTAGAAATACTTCCCACGCTCTCTACATAATAATGAAAGAAAATATAGGAAAAAATAGATCTTACAAGACGAATAAACAACACACACAAACCCACACACAACACACAGATAATGAAATCTGAAGAGCCATTAACTGCAGAAACTGCGCATTATCTTGTCAGGGATATCCACAATATCCAATCTACCGGACACAATTTTTAATTAATCTATTTCACTCTTAAAGTCGTTTTCGTTTGGGATGTGTTATAGGTAATTGCAGTTTATAGTTTTAGAAATACTTCCCACGTTCTCTATATAATAATGAAAGAAAATATAGGAAAAAAAATTAGATCTTATAAGAGACGAATAAACAACACACATAAACCCACACACAAACACAGATAATGGAATCTGAACAGCCGTCAAGTGCAGAAACGGCGCATTGTCTTGTCAGGGATATCCACAATATCCAATCTACATCGCCTTTGTTCGATGATGGCGAATTTCTATCATACAGCAGACATTTTGCCCGAACTGCAATAGTCAAGGAAATAGTGCGCTAACAACTTCACACAAGATAGAACCGTGTGCACCAGTAGAAATAAATATTGAATGATATTAAGTCGATTTTATAAATACATTCGTAATACGTCTCTACGCTCTTAAGTTTACAGACTATTATCGAAATTCAACGGTAACGTTATACGCTCTTACGTCTTTAACGCGATTGCATTCGATTACGTAATATTGCTTGTTGAATTGCATACCGTCTCGTAATTTACGTTCGTCTCGTTTACATACAAAGCAGTGTGATTCTTAACAGGTTTGTTTTAACATTCATTATAGCCTGCGTTGAATACAGAGTATATGAACCTTGATGTTTTTTTTTTTCTGGACCTGGGGCTGAACCCCCTACGAGGAGTATATGGGATTATCTGAGTACCTAACAGTAGATTAACTGATTTTAATAATATTTTAGTCGTTATGGTAGAGGGTAGGTTACTTTTTATACGATTGGATCTTCGACTTCATGTCGTGATGTCCATGAACTTTTTTAACCATTCAACATCAGGTGAGCTAATTCTAAAGTTTTCAACTATTACTAGACCAACAACTAATCGCTGCGTTGCAAAGCAATGTGATAAATAACCCATTGACATGCAAGACAAACACACACATAAATTATTACGCATAGAAAAGTCACTAGTTTAAACGCTGCGAACATTCTGAGTGCTCAAGGTTGGTAGATTATTGACAATTTATCTTACAAAACGATTTCGCTTAAATCACTATAGCAGCTTAAAAAAAAACCCGAACTTGGTAGTTACCACAGAACACGAGATATTGCTTATTTCTGAATCGCGCTAACGACATTTTCCAGATAAGTTAACATATATACAAGTTCCGAACAATAACATTCACCAGTCACCGTCCTCGTCGAACCCGTCGCTTGCGACGAAAGGCTCGACGAGCGAATTAACCCATAGACACAGCTCACTGAGTTTCTCGCCGGATCTTCTCAGTGGGTCGCGTTTCCGTTCCGGTGGTAGATTCTGCGAAGCACTGCTCTTGCTAGGGTCAGTGTTAGCAAAACTCCGGTTCGATCCCCGTGAGTTCACCTAGACACATTAGGGCGAACCTGAAATAATAGCCTCTCAAGGCTATCAACATAGGTGGGAAAGAAAAGAAAAAAGAAAAATAACATTTGGACTGCATTCGCGAAGCAGCTGCTCTTGAGTTGTTGCGAGAGGCTCGCTCACCTATCTTCCTGAAACTGGATAGGCCAGAAGCTATTGTTCCTACCTATAAAAAAAAATCGCAACAAACAACCCAATATTTTAAAATTCGATCAAAAATCACATCCTAATGAGTAACATTGTTCCCATTGTTAGATTGTATTGACAAACCGCGCTTGTTGAATGAAACATGCTGTCTATTACAGTATCTATTTAATATTGATGTATATTCTCAATACGTGTCAGCACAACATAGGTACACGCCATTCCATAATATGAAATTTACGATCCATTGTCAAAATGCTGT